AAAATTTTCATAAAACTTTTGACATACTCTATAGATTATATTAATTTATGCACGAATAAATTAATCACATTAATTTACATCATTCAAGGATCAACCGAAAAATACGTGGAAGCCGACTCGGATGATAACTTGAATTTCTTTGACCACGAACAGTCCTTGCTCCAAGCTTTGTGTTTAGAATACCAACGTCTTCCACGTCAATTCCTTGATTTCATGTAGACGTGTGTGTGGGCACACGTGAGACAAAATAGGTTTCTGAAACACTCGAATTTCCATAAAGACCAACGCATGCACGATGTGGAATTTTTGGAGAAAAATTTTGCTCTCTATTTTTCACTCTATGAGAAATTCGGCCACACAAACTTAGGGATGAATATTTGTTAAAAATTGTCACTACAATTTTCTATCTTTCTCATATTTAAAGAGAAGAAGTCAAACTTCAAAATAGAATCAAATCCTTATCTCTAATTTTGAATTTGGAACAAAAAATCCCTTCCTCTTATCCACTTGGTGGCTGGCCACACTCCTAGGGTTTATCCCTATGTGTGGCGCCAATCTCGGATAGGGAAGGAAGAGATTTTATCCTTTATCTAGTAGTCCAATTTTAATTCAGATTCAAATTCGAATTTAAGTCAAATTTAAATTAATTTGAATTCTAAATTGAACAACTTATCAAATAAGTTTAAATGGAAAAATCTAGATATGTTCAAATTCAAATTTAAATAATCACATTATTTAAATAATAAAATTCTCAATTAATTATTTTTCGAGTATTTAATTTTAGAATTCCGTAATTCCAAAATTCCCATTTTGCCCTTTGTGTCTGGTAGAATTACAAGGACGACGCGGGGACATATGGACCTATAATCCCGAGCTCCAATAAAATTAATAATTAATTAAACACTTTAATTAATTAATTAATTCTATTAATTCCAATAGTTACTCCACTATAAACTTGGAATTGAACTCTCGAAATTACAGACATTGATTACTTCTAAATTGCGAAGTGTCTATTTGATATAGTCATTACATATAGATCAATCCTCCATAAATAATTCATAATTAGAGTCAGGTAGAATCCGTTAACCTCTCTAATTATATCTGCATCCTTGAGTACTATTGATTCTCTAATGGATAGTGATTCATAAAACACATTCATGAACCAGAGCGCTCTTACTAATCCAAGTACCGAATCAACACTCAAGAGAATTATTTATCTGCTTCTTTCTCAAGAAGGAATGGATTCCATTTCGTATAATAACATTCCCAGCTACCTATTTCATTATGTCTCCAAAATACAAGGAATAGGATTCAGGGTCTCGGAATCCGTACCGAGTAAATCAAAAGACATAAATCCATAAATAGGAGTTTGTTAAGAACTCAAGATTAAGATCATCCTATATATGACCATCGGTAGACTCAATTAGAATTTCTATGCTTAACAGAAATTATTAGAAATTCATATTGTGTCTGCGTCCATGTTCCACATAATCTCATTATGCGAAATACACTCATTCAATATCTCGCCATATTAATAGTGCGGATAACACCGTTCCATTCTAAATGGGAATGACATGTATTAATAATGTTTTAATTAAAGATTCTGAACTTTAATTAAATTCATTATGAACAATTACTTTTGATGATTATCCTTAAACATTATCCTCTCGTATACAACACTTATATACCATGTTTAAGGTTACATAAATAATCAAGGAATTTTATTTGATATTCATAAAATATTCATAAATATATGCACATAAAATGATGAATAAACTATTTTATTAAATAAATAATAAATATCCTTTTACATCTCATGCTTCTAGGACACTATTCCCAACAGTGTTTTGTTTACCGGTGGCTTGGGAAGCACGTGGCGATTCTGGCGGTGGGCAGAGACGAAGCGACTGAGATGTAGGAGATAGTGTCGAAGCACGAAAAGATTTTGGTGTCGATGACTGGTCGGAGGCATAGGGTTGTGGTCGACAGAGGATTCTGAGGTGAACGGAATGGGGCCCCTACTAATGGCGGTGTAGCAGTAGAGATGGAGCGCAACGATGGGACAAGTTGCGGCTATTTTACCTCAATCAAGGCGGTTCTCGGTGAGTGAGGGGCGGAGAGTTGGGGGCTCTGAGAAACGGACGATGATGATCATTTTTGTGAGGGCGGTGATGACAGATTCGACGGTGAGTAGCAGTGGCGGGTGAAGCGTGAAGGCACGGTAGAGGCATATGGATCAGCTCTGTGTGAAATTTCTCTCTTTTATTTAGAAATTTTTTTTTTAGAAACTTGCAGGAAACAATTTTTTTTTTTCAAGAACACCAACTTCAAATTCAAACGTGAAGGCAGAGGATTCAAACGAAGCTCTAATACCAACTTGATGTAGGACATAATAGGAAAAACAAAGAGAAGAAGAAGAAAGAGGAGAAGAGAGAAAGAAAAGAATTAAGGTAAAAGAAAAGGATAATTTAGAGAGAGAAAGAGAAGAAGTTAAGAGAGATGAAATCTGAATAATTGTATTATCAATCAATAAGTTTTGAAAACCAATGAACAATACTACAATTTTCTACAATATTTTATTTTATAGAGTAGAAGTCAAACTCTTAGAAGAGTCTAATCATTATCTTCAAGACAAAACTTGTTAATTATCTCCCACTTCAAATTTGATTTTGAAACAAAATCCACTCTCTCCCTTATCCTATATGGCCGGCCACCACAGGGGAATTCCTCCCTGTGGTAGGCGCAATTTTGCAGATAAAAAGTATGGCAAAATTTATCCTGCAGTCCAATTTTAACTTAAATTCAAATTGAAATTTTAATTCAAACTTAAATCAATTTGAATTTCAAATTGGACAACTTATCAAATAAGTTAATTGGATAATAATGGAGAGCAAGCAATTTGAATCCTAAAGGGATTCACACTGTACTGTGCGTTCACACTATGGGAACACCTTCACATGTGTGTTTCAAAATTCAAATTTAAACTTAAACTTAAATAATCACATTAGTTAATTTATAATTAATTTTCAATTAATATCCTTACGCGTTTTATTTTAGAGTTCCATAATTCTAAAATTCTCATTTTGCACTTAGTGTCTTGTAGAATTAGAAGGACGACGCGGGGACTCTTGTACCTATAATTTCGAGTTCAAATGAAATTAATAATTAGTTAAACTCTTTAGTTAATTCTATAAATTCTAAAAGTTACTCCACTATAAACTTAGAATTGCACTCTCGTAATTATAGACATAAATTACTTCTAAACTATGAAGTGTCCATTTGATATTGTTATTGCATATAGATCAATCCTCTATAAATAATTCATAATTACAGCTAGGTGAAATCCATTAACCTCTCTAATTACATCTTTATCATTGAGTACCATTGATTCTCTAATAGATAGTGATTCATAAAAGACATTCATGAATCGGAGTGCTCTTACTGGTCTAAGTACCGAACCAACCATCAAGAGAATTATTTATTTACTTCATTCTCAAGAAGGAATGGATTTCATCTCGTATAATAACATTCCTGACTACTTACTTCATCATGTCTCCAAAATATAAGGAATAGGACTCAGGATCTCAGAACCTGTACCGAGTAAATCAAAAGACACAGATCCATAAATACGAGTCTGCTAAGAACTCAGGACTAAGATCATTCTATATATGACCATCGGTAGACTCAATTAGAATTTCTATACTTAACGAAAATTATCAGAAATTCATAGTGTCTGTGTCCTTGTTCTACATAATCTCATTATGCGTAATACACTCATTCAATATCTTACTATAGTAACAGTAAGGATAACACCATTCCATTCTAAAAGGGAATGATCTGTATTAGTAATATTTTAATTAAAGATTCTGAACTTTAATTAAATTCATTACGAATATCATTTTGATTATTATCCTTAAATATTATCCTCTCGCATATAACTCTTATATACAATATTTAAGATCATATAAATAATCATTAAATTTTTATTATCATTTATAAAATATTCATTAATATATGCACAAAAATAATAAATAAATTTATTTATTAAATAAATAATAAATATCATATTATTTTAAAGTTTCTGCGACATCATTCTTAACAATATGTGTCCAAGGGTTTTGGCTTTCTGACCCAAAATTCTTCTTCTGAATCGTCTTGGTCGTGTTGATGTAGAGAATCTTGATCGTCTTTGACCGTTATCATTACCTTTCTAAGATTGCGCGTAAAAAGCGCTTTGATGCTCTGAATTTGGTCTCTTCAGATGCCCTCCTAGAATGACTGATGGGCACTTTCGTGCCCTCTTTCTCAATTCTCCAAACCTTCCTACTAACTGTGAATGCTCGAAAGTAGGGGTGTTCGGCGGTTAAAAACCGTCAGTTTTGGTCGGTTCGGTGGCCGAACCGACCATGTCAGTTTTTAAAAACCGAGAACCGAAACCGAACCGTAAAATTACAATTCGGTTCGGTTAACTGAATTTTTGATTTTCGGTTGGTTTCGGTCGGTTTTTGGTTTTGGTAATCTGGATGGTGACTATCAGTTAACTATTAGGTTACCCACATATTTTGTTGCCTGTATGCAAGCATGTAATCACAATAAATGAATACAAAGCACAACATCTAAATTTTCAGTTGACCAAAAATTGTGAAAAAATGTAAAACATTCCTTGTATGCAAGCATGTAATCACAATAAATGAATACAAAGCACAACATCCAAATTTTCAGTTGACCAAAAATTGTGAAAAAATGTAAAACATTCCTTATATGCAAGCATGTAATCACAATAAATGAATACAAAGCACAACATCCAAATTGATAATACCACAAACACAAAATATCCAAATCCAATGTCCAAAATCTAAAGTACAAACTAGAAATTTGAAAGTTACAACAAACAATACTAATGTTCAAAGTGTAAAAAACATTAAATTGGCATAAGAAATTAAGAAGTCCAAAGCATAATTAAAAAGCATAGTGAAGTTCATTTCCAATTTCTCATAAACCTCCTATTCCCCTTCATCCGAATCCAAATCCAAATCCATTATATCTTCATATGTATCGCTACAATAGAAAATTAGAATTAAGTAAATGAAATTGAATAGATAATGAGAAAAAAGAAGAAATAGATATAATTCTAATTATCTTACTTGGGTCTTTTAGAAGATTCCGCATCATTTACTTGAGCGATTCCGTCCTTTGAACACGTTGGAGTAGAAACAACCTCACCATCATCTACAAGAAAATTATAAATTAATTTACATATGTCATGAAATGAATAAAAAAGATATAATTATATCAAGTATGTGTAGTATGTACAATCATGATTAGCATTACCTGAGACAGCATGATAGCAATCTGTAAAAGATTCAACCTCATCCATATATTGCCTAAGAACCACGGGTTCATATTCTTCATCATTCGCGTTCAACCAACTTTTTAAGCAAATAAGTGCTTCGACCATCCTAGGAGCCAATGAACTCCTAAAAGGATCAAGACTACGACGATCGGTAGAAAAAGCTGATTCAGATGCAACCATCGAAACCGGAACTGCAAGCACATTTCTAGCAATTTGGGATAAGACCTTATACCTAGGAGCATTTACATTCCACCAACCTAGGATGTCAAAACTGTCATCCACTAGCTCTTCGCATTGCTCAGATAAATACTTATCCACATCATTCTTCTGCACATTTGCACCATTCCCACTCATCTTTTGCTTTCTAAACATGGCCTCTATCTCATCATCAATAACCGGCATTGAGGCGGGCTCACTAGATGCCGTAATTGTTGAACGACTTGAATTACAACTAGAATAAGTTTCTACTGAGTGAGCTGACCTTGTATTTCTAAATCGAGGTTTGGCCAACTGTGATAATTGCGGTTGCTTAAGCAAAGGTGGAGGAGGAGCCCGATCATGATATTCCTTATACAATCTACGCAATGTGTCCTCAACCCCTTTTAACAACGTGACAGATGTCGAATCATTGTAGATACACTTGAAGGCAAGAGCAAGATAATCCAACTTATATCTTGGATCAAGAACCAAGCGAAGAAACATCATGTGATTCATTTTCTCGACATTTCCCCAATACTTATCAAATTTTTTATTCATCATCGTTGCCATTTCATTCAACATAGGATCATCACACTCCTCTAACTTAATTAACTCTCGTTTAACATCACATATATCTTTGAAATAGAAGTTTGAAGTGACATAATATGAACTACTAAACTTCTTCGTCAAAGTGTAAAACTTACCTAAGAACCTCAAAAAAACCCATGCATTGTCCCAATCCGTCTCATTTGGTAGACCCTCAATCTTTTTGTCTTTTATAACTTCATCAAAGTAAGCACAATAGTTTTGATCCAAAAGCAACCTCTCAAAAATGGGGACAAACTTGAAAGAAGTCTCCAACATTAGGTAGGTAGAGTTTCACCTCGTCTTCACATCCAAACACAATAGGGCAGTTGAGTTGATGTTTTCTTCCTTCATGCACTCCTTAAACTTCTTGAGGCGTTGAGGTGAGGACCTCACATACCTAACTGCATTGCGGATGCTTGCAATAGAATATACTAAGTTCGTGAGCCCATCATTAACAATCAAGTTTAGAATGTGACAGACACACCGCATATGTATCATCTGGCCATCTAAGACGAGAAAATTAGGAATATCTTTGACTTTTCTCTTCAACCTGTCCATAGCCACATCATTGGATGATGCATTGTCCATTGTAACTGTGAACAATGCAGTTATGCCCCAATCATTAAGGCAAATCAAAATCTCCTGTGCAACTGTTTCTCCTTTATGATTCGGAACTTGGATGAAATTAATGATCCTTTTCTGCATATTCCAATCTTCATCAAACCAATGTGCGGTCAAACACATGTAATTGATGTCCAAGTATCAGTCGTCAAACACACCCGTTGCTTTCCTAAAACCTTCTTCAACTTCTTCTTCTTCTCCAAAAACATTTGATAAACATCCCTCGCAATTGTTATCTTTGAAATGTCAAACACTCTAGGATTCAAGTACGCCGAATAGCACTTAAACCCTTTACCTTACACATGTCGAAACGGTAACTCATCCAATACGATATACTCCGAAACGGCTATCTTATAACCCTCATTGGACCAAGCTCTTAGTGTCATAGTACTAGTAGCAGTGTCCTCCTCATGTGCTCTGATCTTTCTACTAAATTGGATGGTCTTTTGTTTGTTTTCACTCTATGGATTCATCAAGTAACTTTCTATATGACTTTTCATTGTAGATGTGCCATTCTTTTTCGAATCAGCGGCATAAGTGACACCACAATGCTTGCAAGTAGCCTTCTTGGTTTTTTCGTTCCTCGTGAAATGCTGCCAAACCGGGCTTACTTGTCGGGCTTTCTTCCTTTTCTTAGTATATTTCCCTTCTTCCTCAGTTGTCTCTTGTGTTTCAGTAGTTTCGGTTTCTTTTTGACTAGATTGAGACTCTATCTCTTTTTGCTTTTCCGATGAAGACATCTAAAAGAATTAAGCTAAAAGTTAAACAATCACAAACAACATGCTTTCACTACATGAGATTTTTCAAATTGTACACAATGCTTCACTAATAGGAGAGAGGAAAAGAGAGAGAGAGAGGATATGGAGATTCCAATTGTACACAAAGCATTAAATCCAAAATCAGATTTTTCACGAGAATGATTGAGGTTAGCCTGCATATATTTCACCACATGCCTTAGATGCAGTAGGTAATGAGGAGAAAACCAACATATCATATTATTTCAGGAGAAAACATAAAAATGAAGATATTCATCAGCCGGCTAATAAGGAGCCAAAAAAAAAAAAAAATTACAACAACAACAACAATAACGCTACAAAGAAGGCAAACGAAAATAATAAGAAATAAACACTACCGGTTGAAACCTTACTGGTTTCATTTATACAACTTGAAATCCTTTCCCTTCCAAACTCAAAAAACATAAACATTTTTATTTTAGAATCAATATCACGTCCTTTTTTTTTTTTTTTTTTTTGCAGGTTATTGAGTTGTGCCAATTATTCTTAAGACCTTGAAACCACAATCACCATTACTTAAGTACATGATTATTGATTTTCTCTCCGATCGAGAGCTTGACAACAGTGAGAAACCAAACCAAAGCAAACCATACATATTCTTATTAGGGCCATTTTTGGCTCTCTCGCCATATATCATCAATCATCAACATCACGAAACATCAATTGCAAGAACCTCCCTCACCCATGCTAAGCCAAACCACTGAAAACTGAATAACGAACCTAAATCGATTCAGCAAGCTTTTCTTTCAACATAGCACTGAAACAACTCATTTGATCTCTACTTAGTGTAACACTAAGTTCCACCCCACCTTTCTCGTCCTACTCAAAACAATCTACAAAATGCTCCCAAATTAAATTCATCTTCCTCTGTTAATTTATATACCAAGATGCTTGGCAGACTTGTTTCAACTAGTGGTTCTTACCAAGCCTCCTGCCAAGCCAGTCATATTCACCAAATCTAATCACCTACAGCGCTGAAGTCGATAGAACATCTTAGGCTAATTTAATAAATCCTTCACACAATCAACAACAGAAACACACAGTCAATTACCAAGGCTGTTCTCCAATTCAGTGTCTTAAGCAACGCGATGCTTTCCTAACAACACAGCTGATCAGCAAATTCAGTGATTTACACAGCACAATGTTTCATTTTACCTTTTCTACATATCTGTATCTTGTGAAAAATAATGTAAATCTAATTGGTTAACATTACTCACAACCCCGAACAAAACACTATTCCACAAGCACAAGAATTAAAAACAATCATGTGGCTCTGCATATCTTGAAACCTTTTTTCATATACAAATCATTCTGTGGCATATATAAATCCAAAATCAAACGCAACAGATATATACAATCGCCCAAGCTTGATTGATGGAAATAGAAAGTGGAGAAACAAAAGCCTAACCTCAGCGGAGCTTGGCGGAGGCGGACGTGTGAGCTTGGCGGAGGCGGATGTGTGAGCTTGGCGGAGGCGGACGTGCGAGCGGCGGCTGGCGGCTAGGGCTTCTTTCACTGTGAGAGGCGGACGTGCGAGCGGCGGCGGATGTGCGAGTGAGGACGACTGAGGAGAAAGGCGGCGGCTAGGGCTTCCGTGAGGGTGGGTGAGAGTGAGAGAGGTGAGGCGTGAGAGTGGGTGGTCGTGGGTGCCGAGTGGGTGGGTGTCTGTCTGGGGTGAGAGAGTGAGAGACAGAGAGAGGCAGAAGAGAGACTGAGAGAAAGAGGGTTCAATTTTGAGTTTTGTGACTCCTAAGAGTAAAAACGACATCCACTCTTCAGAAACGACAACATAAAATTTTTTAAAAAAATGAAAACATATAAAAAAAAAATTTCCTCAGTCGGTTCGGTTTTAACCGACGAGCCCACAACAAAACCGAAACCGAACCGAATATCTAGGGGATCGCTTAGTTAACCGAACCGATTGTGTTCGGTTCCACGTGGCACCGCCTTTTTTAGTTTTGAGCGGTCAGTTCTTCGGTCGGTACGGTTTTTTTGAACAGTCCTACTTGAAAGTTCTTAAAGCCTCTGTGCCCATTCACGTAATCCCAATCTCTGCCAAACCTTGACGCGTTCACTGACCGTTCTGACACTTTGCAACGTTTTAATACTATTAAAGTATAAAATTAGTATTAACCTACATTTTAATAGTTTAAATTTTTAAAATAAATTAGTAAATTAATACGGTATTAGAGAGAAATTATGAGTTTAAACCACCATAATTATACTATTTATTTCCATTTAAAATTATAATTATGTGTTGGGTCTTTAATATATCTCGAGTTTAAATATTTACGTGTTGAATTTTTTAATTAATTTATCCACACGATTACTCATTGTCTAACCTACACGTGAGGAGGAGTGTTAAAGTATAAAATTATTATTGACTTATCTCCTGATAGGTTAAACTTTTAAGATAGATTGATAAACTAACACCGATAATTCTCCACCTTTAAACTTGGACAAAACTCAACCGTTATACTCCATTCGCAAAACCTCTCAATCCAACACGAGCATGAGAAATCATCCTCGACATTCCCCTTCTCGTCATCATCCTTATTCTCGACTTTCTAAGTCTGAGAATTCTCATCATTCAATGACTATTGCTTTCGGTTTGGACACTGACAGGGATATTGAAAAACAAAATCAGTATTCTTTGTCTCAGTTTGAAGAATTTTATGTCAACAGCTTCATATATCAAAAACTTGAATTGTTGCTGAGAACGAACTTCACCGCTTAAAGAGTGGGCCTACAAAGTCAAATTCAGCAGACCCCAAGACCATCGAATCTCTTCAAATCAACTAGAAATCTGCATTAAAGTCTCAAGATCTCCTCGCCGCAGAGAATGAAAAACTTAGAGTGCGTTTAGTTTAAGGATTTGTTACCTGATT